AAAAAAAAAAAAAAAAAAAAAAAAAAAAAAAAAAAAAAAAAAAAAAAAAAAAAAATTAAAATTAAAGAATTAAATATTAGTTCCTCAGATATACCAGCTGCATTTTTGGTGCTCACTAATATGTGATTAGTGGCCACCATATTGGGCAGTGCAAATTATAAAACATTTCCATCATTATAGAAACTTCTATAGGATACACCCCAATATAGTACTGGTTTTCTATAGCATTGGTTAAGTGACCATACTGACTAAAGAGAGATAAGGTTTTGATTTAATGAAATCTGATTAATTTTATTCGTTGGTAAAATTTAGGGAAAACAAGCACAAAATCACCATAATTCTATCACCCAGAGATACCGTTTGCTATTTCTATCCACTTTTTCCTTAACATATGTGTGTATATATGTGTGTGTGTGTGTACATACACATTTTCCTTATGATTAATATTTTTTGAAAACATTCTTTTTATATGCGCTTATCTGTTTTTCAAAACATATGACAGTATATATAACACCTGATCTTATGGATATGCCTTGCTGTGTTTTAGCTCTTCCATATCATTCAGTATTTATACTGTTTCCCATATTTTGTGCTTACAAATAATGCTGTTCCTTACTCTATAACTTGTTTTAAATCTTTGTCCCAATTTGCCTTAGAAAAAATACTGAGACATGGTTTAAGAGTGTGAAAAATATTTTTAGGGCAATTGATTTTACTGCCAAGTTACCCTCCAGAAATGAACTGTAAATACATTCCTAAAAGCTGGATTCGTCTATGTCTTTTAAACACTCTTTGAGCCTGCAAGCAGTAGTGTATCTGAGTCTTTAGGAGAAAGATTGTGGCTTAATTTTAAGGAAAGTTACCAAAGCTATGCTGTTCTTCGTAGATGGAATTTTCAAACCAGGAGTACACAATGTAGGTACCAAAGGAGAATCTGTCAACTCGGCATCTAAAAGACACACAAAATAGTCACAAAAATATTATAACGATAGTGTGAACTGGATAGGAAAAAAACCCTAGTTCACATATGTAATTATCATTAGCACTAATAAAGTTCAGTAAAGATGCAAGAGTAATACACAACAACAAAGAGTTGTGTTATATAATAAACATAAAAGCAACAAACTATTACATATATAGTTTGAAAGAAGTTACTTTTCACAGTAGCAACAAAGACAAGATATCTACAAAGATATCTATTTAAATGGTATAAAACTCTTATGGAGAAAATTATCAAACTTCTGAAGGAGGAGGAGGAAGAGGGAGAGCAGGTCACTTGCCTTCCAAGATGGCAGGACTTACTCTAAAGCTACAGTAGTTAAAAACAGTGTAACATTAACCAGGGATGGAAATATTAAAGATAAGAACAAGAGAGACCCATGCATATATAGACATTTGCTATCTAGAACACACAGTATCATCAAGGCAACCTTAAAAAACATCAAAGAGGGCCGGGCGCAGTGGCTCACCCCTGTAATCCCAGCACTTTGGGAGGCCGAGGTGGGCAGATCACCTGAGGACAGGAGTTTGAGACCAGCCTGGCCAACATGGATCAAAGAGAAAAGGTAAATATGTTAGAAAAACAATTTAATTGGCAAAATATTTTAAGTCTAAAAATCATCAAGTGCTGGAAAAGATGGAGAAACAGGAACTCAACACCACTAGTGAGAAGATAAATCTTAACAGCCACTCTTAGATGACTATTCAGCATTTTCTAGAATAAGTAAAAATGTACATGCCCTCTGACCTGGCACTCCTTCATATGAGAAACACACATACACACAAGGGAAAATTTCCTTAGAGCACTACCTGTAATAAAAAATAAAAATACTACCTCTTAATCAGCAAATGAATATGGCTTATATATACAATAGAATACTATTATCAATTAAAAAGGATGAAGTGCTTTGGGAGGCTGAGGTGGGCAGATAGATTAAGTCCAAGAGTTTGATACCAGCTTGGGCAACATGATGAAAACCCTCTACCAAAAAAATACAAAAATTAGCTGGGCATGGTGGTGTACGCCTGTAGTCCCTGCTACTTGGGGGGCTGAGGTGGGAGGACTGGTTGAGCCTGGGAGGCGGAGGTTGCAGTGAGCTGAGATTGTGCCACTGTACCCTAGCCTGGATGACAGAGCCAGACCCTGTCTCAACAAAAAAGTGAATTTACATGGAAAATATAAAAAACACACTGTTGAGTGAAAAAAGTAGTGGCAAAATAATGTGAATTGAATGTCTCTCCTGTAAAACAATGGAACTATACATTGGGAAAATCATTGCTTTTGGAGGAGAAAGGAAGGAGAATAACGGACTGGGATTTACCTTTATGCATGTTTTCTTTTATTAAAAAAAAGATCTGAAGTAAATACAGCAAAATGTTAACATCTACTTAATTTGCTATTTCCAAGCGTATACCTAAATACCTGGGATTTTAAGATAAGCACAGAGAGGGGTTAAAGTTCAGGCTCTGAACACATGGGGATTGGAAATGGAGCATGATGCATAAAGCTGAGAGCCTGGAAGAACTATAGGGTCTATGAACCAGGGACAAAAATATTCAGATCTGCTCACTGGCACTGGGCAGGGGAATAGAACAAAAGCAAGCTAGGCTAAAGGTGGAGTTTCGGGAGAGTATTTAAAAATCACAATATCAAGTCCATACATTATAGAGTTATAGGTCCTGAGCTCACCCTATGTATCTGGCACAGGTCTGTGGCAAGTCGTTCATCTAAAAAGTTGTCTACAGTTGGCAAGACCCATGTGGCCTTGGCTGGGGCCAGAATGAAACAGCTCCACAGAGACTACCTCACAATCCAGGGCACAGAGACCTCAACTGAAAACAACTTCTCTGGAAAATGAGTTCACAGTTAAAAATTAAAAGCATAGCCTAGGCGTGGTGGCTCACGCCTATAATCCCAGCACTTTGGGAGGTCAAGGTGAGAGTATCACTTGAGCCCAGGAGGCAGAGGCTGCAGTGAGCCGTGATTGTGTCACTGCACTGCCGCGTGGGTGACAGAGTGAGACTCTGTCTCAAAATTAAAAAGACAAACAGGCTGGGCGCAGTGGCTCACGCCTGTAATCCTAGCACTTTGGGAGGCCAAGGTGGGTGGATCACCTGAGGTCAGGAGTTCAAGACCAGCCTGGCCATCATGGTGAAACCCCATCTTTAAAAAAAAGACAAACAAAAAACCAAAAAGCATATGAGGAAACAAACCACCAGGACAGAGAATCAGCCCAATAAACAAGAGAATCAACACCTTAAAGAGTCTTTCATATATATGTGTTTAAAATATTCAGAGAAGTGGGGTGTAGTGGCCTGCATGTGCAATCTCAGCTACTCAAGAGTCCAAGGTAGGAGGATCACTTCAGCCCAGGAGTTCGAGGTTGCAGTGAGCTATGACTACACCACTGCACTCTAGCCTGCACAGTAGGGCAAAACCCCACCTCAAAAAAAAAAAAAAAATTAAAAATAAAAAAAAAGGCAGATAGATCGTACAGCTCTTCCAGGCTGTCAACTTTATGCACCCATGCTTTGTTTTGGTGCCTCATACATTTGAAAAAAATAAGCTTATCAAGCAAAAAATGTTACTGGAGTAAAAATTCAACTGATAGATTTAAATAATTTACACTCACCCTAAGTAGAGAAACACTAAACTGGAAGAAAGATCTAACTAAGGCACAAAGCAGAATAGAGAAAGGAAGGAAAAATATGCTGAGAAGTTAAGAAACTGAGGAGACAGAATGATACATTCTAAAATATATTTTACAGAAATTTTAGGAGAAAAAATTGAGAAACTAGGAGAAAAGTAATATTCTAAAAAGTTTTTTTTTTTTTTTTTTTTTTTTTGCCAGGTGTAGTGGCTCATATCTATAATCCTAGCACTTTGGGAGGCTGAGGCAGGAGGATCTCTTGAGCTCAGGAGTTTGAAACAAGTCAGCCTGGGTGACATAGAGACTCGTCTCTAATTAAAAAAAAAATTTTTTTTTGAGACAGTGTCTTGCTGCCACCCAGGATGGAGTGCAGTGGCACAAACATGGTCCTCTGCAGCCTTAACCTCCTGGGCCCAAGAGATCCTCTCACCTCAGCCTCCTGAGTAGCTGAGACTACAGACATGAGCCACCACACCTGGCTAATTTTTTAATTTTTTTGTAGAGACAAGGTCTCATCACGTTGCCCTTTTGAGTATGGTGCAAGATGATACTCCAATTTCCTTTTCTTAAAAAATCAGCTACCCCTTAATACAATCATGTTCTTATAAACTGAGCTATAAGCTTACTATGAGTGATATATTTTTAAACCTGTTTATGCTATTAATACTCATTAAATAACATAACCACATATTGGTGAAATTGATAGGAAAATTAAAAAAATATATGTCCAAGATTTTTAAAAGACCTGATAAAAACAAGCTGTTTTTAAATATTTCCAATAAATTTGGTACAGATCAGCCAATTATAAAATATTATTTTAAAAAAATCATAGGCTGGGCATGATGGCACATGCCTATAATCCCAGCACTTTGGGAGGCGGAGGCAGGTAGATCTCTTGAGCTGAGGAGTTTGTGACCAGCCTGGGCAAGATGGCAAAACCCCATCTATACAAAAAACATGAAAATCAGCTGGGTGGTATGTGCCTGTAGTCCTAGCTACTCGAGAGGACTGCCTAAGCCTGGGAAATTGAGGCTGCAGCGAGCCAAGATCGTGCCACTATGCTCCAGCCTGGGCAACAGACTGAAACCCTGTCTCAAAGAAAACAAAACAAAACAAAATAATAAAACTCTAGGATTTTTTAATCTTGCTTTTTCATGAACAACGTTTTCATGTTTGCTGTGACAAATATGAAAACACTGTATGAAAATTTTCTCTAAGTTACTGAGCTATTCAAAGGAAACCAAAATTTAAAATGGCAGCTGATGTATTCTGTGCATGTTTTACATAAGAAAGATAATGTACAACTCTAATCAACAGGTTTAAATTAAACTAAAAGAAAAAAGTACTGTGGCTCTACATCAAAAGACTGGTGAATGAATACATGTTTTAAATTAAAATGTTAAAAACAAGCTGACAAATATTGAGTATGATTCAGAGTATTAAAAACACATCAGGCAGGGTACAGTGGCTCACGCCTGCAATCCCAGCTCTTTGGGAGGCTGAGGCAGGCGGATCACCTGAGGTTGGGAGTTCAAGACCAGCCCTATCAACATGAAGAAACCCCATGTCTACTAAAAATACAAAATTAGCTGAATATGGTGGCTTGCGCCTGTAATCCCAGCTACTCCAGAGGCTGAGGCAGGAGAATCGCTTGAACTTGGGAGGCGGATGTTGCAGTGAGACAAGATCCTGCCATTGCACACTCCAGCCTGGGTAATAAGAGCGTAACTCCATCTCAAAAAAAAGAAAAGAAAAACAGATTTTCTTTCTCATGGACAAAATCATGCTGAATGAAATGGTACTTAATATAATCCAGTGTTAGGAATGAAACAGATGAAGAAAACTATCAGAATGTCTAGGATGATGAAATCAATTTTGTACAAAGATAGTGTGGGAAAAATGTTCCTGAGAAGTAACTTGATTTCTCATACTTACCACTTTTTCCCAACTGCTGGATGGTAGGGCCAGGAGTGGTAAAAACATTATCATTGGGCCTCGATTCTGTATCTGCGCTCTCCTTACTGGTGTGATTCATAGGGAAATTACAAGGTTAAAAAAGTTAACATTCAATCTCTGGGAAAAAATTTAACTGCTAAATATCAAGTTTAGGCAAACATTCAGTTGTGCTTTATGGCACAGAAGTCCCATGAAACAAATTCTTTTATTTGTTCTAACATATATCCATGGTACAAAAAGGTTAAGGACCACTAAGTTCTATGTATTAGTTCAAAAAAGGAACTTATTGTAGCTCATGGCTTCAAAATCCTAAAGTGGAATTTTACAACCAGTATACATAAATAGATTAAAAACTTGCCATTTTTTTTAAAGACTAAAATGATCCTGTCATCTGATTATCATTGTCCTAGCCAATTATGTAGATGTCTGTAAAAGTTATAAAGAAAATATCACTGAATACAAGACAGTTCAGGATTGATTTTCACTTGTAAGTTTCCAGTTTTGAATTTAAACATAATGACCCATGCTGCCTTTAACATCTTGTGTAAACATTTTTTCTGAGACAGAGTATCGCTCTGTCCCCCCAGCCGGAGTGCAGTGGTGCAATCTTGGCTCATTGCAACCTCCACCTTCCGGGTTCAAGATTTTCTTCCATCTAAGCCTCCCCAGTAGCTGAAACCACAGGCGTGTACCACTGCGCCTGGCTAATTTTTGTATTTTCTGGTAGAGACAGGGTTTCACTATGTTGGCCAGGCTGGTCTCAAACTCCTGACTTCAAGTGATCCACCCACCTCAGCCTCCCAAAATGCTGGAATTAGAGGTGTGAGCCAGTGCATCTGGCCTCTTCTTTTGTTAATTCATGTCTTTGCTTGTTTTAAAAATCGGGATGTCTTTCACTTATTAGTGTATATGGGTTTTTAAAACATATTTTATATATATATATATATATATATAACATATATATGCACATGTATTTTATCATGTTGCAAAACTTCTCCTGCTTTGTCATTGGTCAAATATTTTATGATACAGTGGTTTAAATTTTGTATGTGATCAAATCTATCTATATTCTTTAGTATGATTTCTGACTTCAGTGTCACACCATAATTTAAATACTTTCTACTGTAGATATTTTGGTTTTTTCCAATTTTCCCCATTTAAAATAAGGCTGTAATAAATACTACTGTGCCAAAGTGTTTGTCAAGTTTTCCTAGAGGTAAAATGACTAGGTAAAAGATTTTAAACATTTAAGAATCAACTCTTTCTATGAAACATTCCCAACAATGATACATGAACACACGTTTCACTTTACTCTTCTAACAGTTAAAACAAATATGCTTTGTACTTTTTTAATAGACAAAACTGTTTTTAAAATAATTATTAGTCATATCAATTCCTGTCCATTGCCTAGGTAGCTTTTGGTGTATTCGTGGTTTCTTATCAGTATGTGTGTAATAGCCCTCAATGCAACTATTTTCTTGGTTTATTTTTTACCCTTTATATGTTTCATGTTCCATTCTATTTATTTTATCTTTTTAGAGGTGGAATCTAGCTATGTTGCTCAGACTGGTTTCAAACTCCTGAGCTCATGTGATTCTCCCACCTCAGCCTCCCAAGCAGATGGGACTAAGGCACAAACCACTGTGCCTGACTCATGTGCCCGTCCGTATTTCTGAAGAAACAAATATTGTTAAGCTGTCTAATCATGTCAATTAATTTATAAGTTTCTTATAATTACAAACATATTGGCAGTTGCAGTATACTCTTTCACTATTTAAATGGATTTGTCTATATTTTCTTTTACTTTGTAAATTATTTAGCTAAATAGGGGTTTTTCTTTTTGATCCATCTATATTTTATGTTGACTTGAGGTAGAGACTACTTGATTTTTTTCCAAACAGTTAAATGTTCCTGTATAATTTACTGAATCATCTTTACTTCAAAAATAGCTTCAGGATCACTTGAGGCCAGGACTTAGAAACTAGCCTGGGCAACATAGTAAGACCCTGTCTCTACAGAAAATTATTTTTTAAAAAATTAGGCAGGAACGGTGGTGTACATCTGTAGTCCCACCTACTTGGGAAGCGGAGGTAGGAGGACTGATTGAGTCCAGGAAGTCGAAGCTGCAGTGAGCTACGACCATGCCTCTGCACTCCAATCTGGGTGACAGACTGAGAACCTGTCTCTAAAAATAAATTTATAAAGAAAGAAATAGTTGCCTTATGTAACTATATAAAATAAATATCAGCCTCTTTCTTGAATTTTAATACTTCTACAAGTTTTTCCATGTGATTTTCTTGACTTGCTTTGGTACAAAATGGCTAGAAGTGCAACACAGAAATACTTATTTCCTATCTCATTACACTGGCCAGAGCATCAAGAATGACGTCAGGCCGGGTGCTCACACCTGTAATCCCAGCACTCTGGGAGGCCGAGGTGGGTGGATCACGAGGTCAAGAGATCAAGACCATCTTGACAACATGGTCAAACCCCATCTCTACTAAAAATACAAAAATTAGCTGGGCGTGGTGGCACATGCCTGTAGTCCCATCTACTAGGGAGGCTGGGACAGAAGAGTTTGAACCCGGGTGGTGCAGGTTGCAGTGAGCTGAGATCACGCCACTGTACTCCAGCCCCCCAAAAAAGAAAAAAAATCGTTTGGATTAAAATTTTATCTTTAGTGTTTCTTTCCCCCCGAGTTGTGGGGTTTTTTTTTTTTCTGACTCTTTGACATGAATGTTTATTTTCCTTTGTTAATAGTAACAGTATTTAATAAGTATTTATCTTTAGATACTGCTTGGCGACTTTGGTAAGTGGTATTTTCATTGTAACATTGTAACTTTATTTTTTGAGACCAAGTCTCACTCTGTTGCCCAGCCTGGAGTGCAGTTGCTCTATCTTACTGCAACCTCCCCGCCTCTCAGGTTCAAGCGATTCTGCTGCCTCAGCTTACTGAATAGCTGGGACTATAGGCACCTGCCACCAGGCCTGGCTAATTTTTGCATTTTTACTAGAGACGGTTTCACCATATTGGCCAGGCTGGTCTGGAACTCCTGACCTTGTGATCTGCCTGCCTCAGCCTCCAAAAGTGTTGTGATTACAGGTGTGAGCCACCGCGCCCACCCCATTATAACTCTTATGGTTTTAATTACCATTTCCATGCTAATGACTCCCAAATCTAGTCTAGCACTTAATCCTTCACTGAACTTTTAAACTGATTAAAATGCCTAAGCATGAAGAGGCACTAACAATGTCACAATCAACATGTAAATGCACCACCTATCCCCCCACACTCCAGGTATTCTTTTCTTGTTCTAACATCAACCCAAGCAACAAAACAGAAACTTGGGGTTTATCCTAGATCATCCTCTTTCCCCAAGTCTCCATGGCAAATCAATCACAAGTTCTTACTAATTTTGCTCCTTTAATTTTATCCCCTCTTCTCTATCCCTACAAATACCATCTTTTTCTCTTTTTTTCAATAGATGTTCAATCATAGCTGCTAACTCCATAACGACTTAATACGGCGAGGGTGTGACCATCCATCTGGCCTCCTGCATCTCCCCTTTTAATGCATCTCTCTGCTGCCATTTGTAAGAGTGGCAATGAGAGGCTTGATCCTGGTATTGCGTTGGGGGCATTGAACCCTGTAAATGTAGATTGGTTCTTTTTTTTTTTTTTTTTTT